AAACCCCCCCCCCCCCCCCCCCCCCTTTCCCCGATTTCCGTCACCTTCGCACCAAATCCTCTCTTTCCGAACACAGAAACCACGAAATACAAAAGCTGGAGAATTCGCCGCTCGCGAGGTGAGAAGGAGGAAATTTTCTACGAAGTACCACGTACGAGTATTTTTCTACAGAGATAGCAGCAGCCCGCAAGCGTGTCGGGGCGCAAGAAAGGGTCCAACCGGGGTCCCTCTAGACTGTAGAGCGGGCCACATAGGGTGGGGTGGCCGGTGTAGGGCGGAAAAAAAATCTCTTGGCACAGCAGGTAGTACGATGAAGTTGTGTTGTACTTTGAACAGGGCGGGTACCCGCCATGTCGTCGGCCTGGCGCATTCCCGACCAATCTAGAGGGACCCCGACTGTACAGAGGGAACAGGGGGCAGGGTAGAAGCTCTGTGTGATGTTGGATGGTTGCGAGGGTGGTGTTGCTGTTGTTGGGCATGCGAGCGCAACGTTTGGCCGGCTTGTGAAAAGGGCATACGCGTGCGTCGCTGGTTCAGTGCACGACCTGCACCACCCGCCGGCCTTCCGAAATCAAACACTCGCTCCCTGTTTTCAACCAACATCCTTTTTTTTTATAGCGGCACACGCCTCTGTGTCGTTCTTTTGAATCGTCGACCCGGTGGTACCAATCATGGGCCTTCCTTGAGGAAAGTCATCATCCTGAATGCAACGCATGTGTTGCGTTGCTTTTTTCGTTTGTTGCGTGTCCATCGCCACGCGTGTTGCCGCCGCCGCCAGCGCTATGAGCTTCCACTTGGGCTACTTGCGTGACCGGCAGGAAGACATAGAGTTGCTCGTTTCGAGGGCAGGGGCGCGCCTGGCGTTCCCTCTGTGGCCTGATCCGACGGCGGCGGCCGCTACGGCATCGACAGCAGCACAAGCAGGGGCAGAGGCAATAGAGGGAGAGGGCGGGGGTGTAGATGCTGAGGGCGAAGGGCCGATGTTCGTCTACGGCCGAGCGGGGGTCAGGGTGCGGATGGAGTGGACGCAGGTTGACGGAAACAGACCACCAGGTATGCAGTTTTCCAAGGGGGGGGGGGGCGTACTCATTTGTTGCTTGCCGTAGTTATTTGACCATTGACCACGCGTCCCTTTCGAGACGGAGCACCGTTCCTACCCCTACTAGAGACACCACCAACGTTTGGGAGCTCTTTACGTTTCTGCCACAAACTACATAAAAATTTCTTCCCATCTTATCCCCGTCCTCTAGGGCCTCTTGTGCCCACCATCTATCCCCAATTATCGCGATCGTTTTTTCGCTGTTGTCTAATTTACCAAACTTGTCCATGTCACACCCTCTCTGTCTCATTTCCTCCTCGAGATCCTCTCTTTCCTTCCTGTACAACTCACACTCCCCAACTATGTGGGGTCTACTCTCCTCCGATTGGCCACATGGACATGTGTGTCTATCCTCCTCTTCCTCTCTCCTACGGCTGGTATACCTCTTCCTCCGTTCTGGCAAGTCCAGATCGCCTACTCGAAATTGCAATTTCAGCTTTTTCGCGTAGTCCATGGGGCCGTCCAAGTACGTCTTCATCCCTATCCCTTCTTTCAACTTCCCGTATATCTCCAAGTGGTCTTCGCTTCGTACCTTCTTCCGAAGGGTTGCCTCCTCCCTACTTTCTAGCATCTCCTTGACTTTCGTCTTGAACCCCCCGAACCCTTCCGTGTCCAACGTCTCCTCCTCGTCTCCTATCTCCTTCCAAACCTTCTCTACCACCTTGTCCCATCTGATTCCCTTCTTTCCTGGAGTCGCTTTTCCCCAAGCTGCGTTGTCAACCATGGCTGGTAGTCTATCGTCCGACATTGTACTTACCTTGTACTGCCACTTCAACTTCTGCATGTCTCTCTTTGTTTTAAGAGAGTACATTCCCAATTCTGCTCTCAATACAGTGTTGCTCGTTGTACTGAACATCCTAGTATTTTCTTGGCCGCTGCCATCTGCACCGTTTCCAGCTGCTTGACGGCCTTTTCGTTACCTTCCCATACCTCTCCTGCATACTCTAGCTTAGGTACAATCACATTCAAGAGAATACACCTCTTAATCCTAGTGTCTAGGTGTGGGTCCGTAAGGATCTCGTCCATCTTGCCTATCTGAGCTTTACCCTTCCCAATCAACTTCGCTATGTGTGCGTCCCATGAGCACTCCTTCGAAATCTCTACTCCCAGGTACGTATACTTGTCTACTACCGGTAGTTCTTCCTCCCCCCATTTCCATTTGAATTCTACGGGATTTTTCTTGTCTTCGTTACAGACCACTACTGCGCATTTTCCTACGTTCGCCGACAGTCTCCATTTTCGGGTGTATCCTACCGCCGCATCTATTTGTTCTTGCAACCCTTCTGGTGTTTCGGATACCCCCACGAAATCATCTGCAAACATCAGTCCGGACACACTCTTTCCCCCTACTTGGACTCCCTGTCTTACTGCTTCAACCGCCCTTATCAAATCGTTGATGTAAATCTTAAAAAGAGTGGGTGACATCGTACAGCCCTGTGCGACTCCTTGGAGTATATCCACGTACTTCGAAATTTCCCCATCCAACATCACCGCACTTCTTGTGCATTCTGTCATCTTTTTTCAACATCCTCCACATTTTCCCCCGGATGCCGATGTCCCACATCTTTTTCCACAATCCATTGCGCCATACGGTGTCGTAGGCTTTTTGTACATCTAGGAAGAAACAGTATGTCGTACGCCCGGCGTCTTTCCTACCTTGGATGATTTTACTCAACGTATATACATGGTCTACACAACTACGATCTGGTCTAAATCCAGCTTGTCCTTCGCTGATCTTTTGTTTCCCCCTCCAACATGTCTCCCATTCTATTGTCTATCATCTTGCCAAACAGTTTCCCCACTGTGCTCAGCAGGGTTATCCCTCTATAATTCCCCGGGCCAGTTTTATCCCCTTTTTGAACAGGTTCACGACTACTCCTTCTCTCCATCTCTTCGGCGCGTACTCGTGTTTCCATATCCAGTTGAATATCCGGACCAACATGTTAATCATCCCCTCCCCCCCCAGTTTCAAAAGCTCGTTCACAATTCCATCAGCCCCTGCCGCTTTTCTATTCTTGAGTTTCGCTACGCAGTCCTCTACCTCTTCTCGTGTGAACTCTCCCTGCAACCCGTCTACATCACTACATTCCCTCCGAGATCTTTCAACGTTTTCCTCTGCCCACGAGTTGATTTCCTTCTCAAACTCCGAGTCGAAGTTGTCGTTGGTGGTGGGTGTCCCAAGTTTGCGGTAGTGCTCTACTAGTACTTCCCTCTTTCCTTTAGAACTGCTTGCCATCTTACCCTCGGCAGATCTTAGTGTCGTTATTTCCGTGTCTCCCCCTCTCTTCTTGCCCACTATCCCTTGAATTCCTACCCACATTTGCTTCATCCCCCCCTCAAAATCTTCGTTAGTCTTTTGGACTACTTCCTCCCACAACCCTTTCTTCTTCACGACCAACTCCTTCACCCTCTTTCTACTTTCAACATACTCCTTCCATCCTGCATCTGTTTTCCCTGCCGCATATTTTGCGTGTGACTCTCTACGTACTCGAATTGCTTGCTTGATTTCTTCGTCCCACCACTTCACTGCTCTCTTACAAACTATCAACTTTCTACCTAGAACTCTACTTGCTGTTGTGTTTACCAGCTCTTCCCACCCTTCTATGATTCTAGACCCGGCCTGGTCCCGGCCTTCGGCATCCTTCGGTGTACCCATTGCCTCTATCAACTCCGAGAGTTTCTTGTCGTTTATAGCCATCTCTTCTTGGAACTCTACCCTCGTTTCTTCTACTTCTAGCTTATCTATTCTCCATCTGTACATTTTCCTGCGTCGCCTACTCTGTATGACTCTCGTCTGTTGTAGGGCTGTCCACACCAACGCGTGGTCTGTAGTGCCTACATCCGTTGTGCATACTCGTACTTCCGTCTCTTTCCCCCCATTCTCTACGACTATATAGTCAAGGATGGAGCGTTCTCCTTTTTTGAAACATTGCCTAGTCCATTCCGGTTCTGTCTTTCGTACTCTACCGTTCAACACCTTCATCTCGCTACTGTCAAGGAACCTCAGCATTTCTTCCCCGTTTTTGTTCGTGGCTCCCTCCCCGTATTGCCCTATGGCTCCGTGTGGGTTCGTGGTTCGCCCGATTCTTGAATTGAAGTCCCCAACTAGAACTACTTCTCCCTTTCTCTTCAAGTTTTGTACATCCGCTGCTACCTCCTCGAACCCTATCCTGATGTCATTCACCATATTCTTCGACTCTGGTGGCATATATACATTTCCTACGAACAAGTCCTTCCTTCCCCGTTCCCCTGGTACCCTTATCCACATGCTTTCGTTGAATTTGGTGTCGCTGATCACCTCAATTATGTCGCACATGTGCTCCTTGACAAAGAATCCAACTCCCCCCTCCCCTCTACTCTTGATTTTCTGTCCTCTCCTCATTTTACCTATCCATGTGTAGCTTCCCACTTCTTTTCCTATTTCTCCCCCGTCCTTCTCCCACGACTCTTGGACTCCGACTATGTCCAGGTCAAGGGGGGGGGGGGGGGGGGCTCCGTGGTTTCGTTGCCGTTGTTGCTACAGTAGGGGGGGCAGCCTTGGTTCCTTGCCAGTGAGGTTTGATGTCCACGCTCGTCGCTCGACCTCGAAACAAACCCTGTCGTGAACAGCAACAGGTTGGGTGTATGTGGTTCATGCGTTGCCGCCGGTACGTACGCTTTCGCCGCGGCGGCACTATCGGATTGTGCACCATCCTCGCTCCCCCCGTATACTGGGAAGCGCGTCGTTTGTCCCCGGTATCAGTTTACCGTAGCACTTGCTCAAGTTGCTGTGCGGACGTAACGTGCGGAAGGTGCTTGTTGGCGTCACCGTCATGATATCGTTTGAAATTGTGTGCTGGTTCTTGTTGTTCCAGTATTTAGCGTGCTCTGCTGATTGGAGAGCATACGGCTGTGGTCCGGAGATGCAACCAACATAGGAGCCGCATCGCTGCCGCTCCAGCCATCATGCGAGCACGGTGAAAGATTTCGACCTCGTCAAAATGTTGCCCCTTTTCTTGGTGGAACTTGCCGCCACCGGTGTCGCTTTGCTTCCCTTTCCTTGTACCCCCGGCCATCCACCTTCTATACTCCACCCTGCCGCCTCAACGACGTTTCTCACCAGCCCCACCCCTGCTCCACCATCCACTTTCCCTCCCCTCCCCCCCCCATGTAACGAATATATATTCGACGTCGAAATAACGACATCAACATCGACAACAACGACGGCATCAACATCAACCACAACAACAACAACGCGTCGGCATCGACATCGACGACGGAAACGGAAAAAAAAAGACGTCCGAGTCTTGTTTCCGCAGGAGGCCCAAGGCCTCACGATGGGGTTCCGCCAACCGTCGTGGAGCTCGGAGACGACGCTGGGCGACTACCTGCCCAGGGCTCAGGCGGCGGTGGTGACGCCGTGGTCGGAGCGGAAGAACCTGGTGGCGATGCTCGCCAAGCGGCACAACGTGCTCGAGTACGACGCGCAGGACTTCACCATGCTCCACCTCTTCATGAAGGTATCATAGATACCTGTTTGGCCTATCTACATACCGACAAGCGCGTTGTTGGCCTGTTCTATTAACCTGCCAACAAGCGTGTTGCGTCTTGGATTGATTTCTGGGTAGCGTCTTTTTCGGGGACTCGTGAGAACGGTCTTCGGTGTTAGTGCTGTTGCATCTCGTTGTTGTGTCTGCAGGACTTGGTGGTGTCCTCCACCTCTTTGTGAATGGTTGTGTTGTGTTGTTGTCCAACTCTTATTGTAAGAGAGAATATAAAACAAGTGCACGTGGTTGTGCCGTGCTTGTATTTTTTTTATCCTGTGCTGTTTTGAGGGTACTGAGTGGTGACTGCGTCTCTCTACCTTTCATACGTTATCGATATCTTGTTCGGCTCCTTTTGATTGTCGTCGGGTGATTGTTTTTGCCTCATGCTCCAGTTTCTGGTGCGTTTGCCGTCCCATTTGGTTGAAAAATATTCGCTCATTGTTCGATTCGCAGTTGGTGGTGCCTCAAATGCGACAAGGGGAATCTCGCACCTTTACTCCGAGATCAAGGCTAAATATGCCGTTGCGCAGTGCCGCGATACGACCCGAAAAACATGCACCATTACCTTCGTTACGCTCTTCCTACATCCATCTCTCCTCATCCTCTGTTTATGCCGAACCGCACCCACACGCATGCAACCTCTCTCTCTGTTTTTGCCGAATCGCACCCACGCATACCTCAATTGCGTAGGTGAAGGTGGATAACTTGATATTCCTCCGCATCCTCCGGGTGGACATCGGCCCCGACTTCCCCAATAACCCGCCGCAGCTGACTCTGTGCGACTCCCTCTCCGAAAAGTGTTGGTCCCTGGACAGAAGGAACTACCGCTACAGCCCCCGGTGGGACGCGGCCAGGATGGCGACCGAGCTGTACACCCACGCGGTGGACTCTCTCTCGAAGCTGCGCGATTGATCCCCCCATCCATATTATCGTCATCGTACATGGAGGGAAACAGTGTACCATCTAGGATTATTGCCGAAGATGCTCCGCCTATTGCACTGCGTGGAGACGCAACGCCAAATAGGGGTTTTGGATTTGGCGGCGCACCCACCTGGGGTTGGACCTAGGATTAGAATGGCGCAGGCCGAAGTAAAAATGTACCACCACGTTCTTGCATGTTTTTTTGCCGTGCTGTGTATTTGTTTCATGGCAAACAGTATGCTGCTTCGTTTTGTTAGTCGTTGTCCTCGTTTGGCCTTCAAAATATTTTTCAGTGTCTTGTTGTCTTGTTGCCGTGGTTCTGTGTTTTTTCGTCGTGTTGGCAATCACCCGGCCTCCGAGCTCGCGAGGCTTGTTTGTGTCTCGGTTGACTTCGGTGAACGTGATTGGATACTGGCCATATCCATATGTCGTCGATACTTGTTGGTGCTCCAACGGCCAGAGGAGGATTTGAGACTGTGGGCTTGTGGCACGACACTCGCTCTCGTTTCCGTCTTACAGGGAGGAATGCTTTTTATGCCGGAGGAAAGAGAGAGAGAGATGGGGCGCTACCGAAAAGAAAGCGGGCCCATTCCTCTCTGGCACGGCTGCTTCATTGTGCGTTCTCCGTGAAGTGCGGGCGAGCTGAGGAAATGTCGCCCGCCCTGCAACGACCCAGTAATGAAAGCCGTCGTTTTCTAATCTACCTTCTGCGCCACATTAGTCTAGATGTGCGTCCAAGTGGAGAATCACGTCCAACGACAAGGCGTCCAAGTGACAAGGTGATCGCTAACCACTAAGCACACACCGCCTGCCGCTTGGCAGCCACTACGTACTACAACGCTGCGTGCAAAGGACCGAAGTCCATCGTGATGCTTTGCTTGGGATGGGGTATCTAACTCTTCACGTTGGCAACAAAACCCCAAGAGTCACAAGGAAATACGACAGCAGTGCCAAGACTCCTAGAGAAAGGGGAGTCCGAAAAAAACACCGACAGCAGCAGCAGCAGTGCTTACAGATTCTCCGCGTTCTGCACACACATGCCGTCTTGTCTCTCGATGAACGATTGTTTTTAGAACCACCCAATCGGCGATGTCGCCGGGAGAGGTTCGGATACAGCAGCTCGCAGTTAGATAGGCACTATGTAGTACAAGAAGGCGTGTTGACTTCGGGGAACACGAGACACCAACTCACCGCTCCGCTAGCCTACAATCCGATGAGGCCGGGACCATTATCGCAGAACGCTGCGACTATTATACTGTTTTTAATACGTTACTGCCACTACGGCTGCTACTACTACTGCCAAGGTGCTTGTAAACAACCCGCGTGTCCTGCTGCTGCTGCAGCACGTGGTGTACCAAACTCGCAAAGAAGGAAGACACGCAGGGGACACAAAGCAAGAGTTATTTCGACAAGAAACAAGATTGTTCCCATATGATACTGTACAACACCGGGAAGATACAGCAGCGTACCACCAACAGCAGGTTCTGCGGCACTCCAGCTACATTACACCACCACCACCACCCCAAGCAATACACTGTAGTCCGCGCGGTTAGAAAGTTGGTTCTGTCGCGCTCTGTCCCCCCCTCGTCCTTCTTTATACCCTCAACGCCCGCCTAGTAGGTCGGGGATGGTGGTCGCCCTCCGTAAGATGACTGCACACGGAGACGGTAGAATTGGGGGCACGGGGGCGGCAGTAACTCGTTGAGCGTGCAACACAGCAGCAGCATCACCCCCGTGGTAGCCAGAAGACAACCACAATACATAGGACCGAGCTAGAATCATCACCAATTCAACAGCAATGACAACAGCAATGACAACAACAACTGCAAGACGGGCCGGGTGTGAATGTCAGACACAAGCCCAATCACATCCCTCTCATGCGTCCTCACGCTCGTGTTCCCCACGCCGTCGCCGCCGGCGCTGCTGACCTGATCGCTCACCATAGCGTCATCATCCTCGTCGGGGTCCATCCCCCGCATCACCTTCTCCAGCCGTTCCAAGCCTTGCGAGGCCTTGACACAGCTGGGGTTCAAGCTGGGCACAGAGGGGATTGCATCGGGTTGGGGTTATGTTGCTAGGGCTGCCAAACTACGTAATATTGGTTGGACGCTACTAATAGGTTTCGAATAGCCAACATGAACTACGGTACGCCTCACGACGTCACCACCATCACGCTCGACAAGTACCTGTCGAACGATCTGCCGCGAGACTTACGCGCGTCCTAGGGTAGGGGGTTGGTTGTGGTTGTGGCGGGAGAACATTTTCATCTTCATTAGGACAGCAGTATGGTGGTCGAGAATTGCAGATTTTCTGATGAGCGCACACGCGCACCCCGAAGGGGAAAAGCATGCGTGCCCCCCCCCCCCTCACATAATAGGCGACCAATCCCATGCAGCATAAATCGAGCGGCCCAACAAGTACATCCCATCCCCAATCCTTGTGTAACCTGCCTAACGTCATGGCGAAGGAAGCCGAACGAGCTGGGGGAATGAATGATAACACTTGCACTGTTGATCGAGAGAGATAAGCTATGGGATCAGAGGATTCGGGCATGTCGATGACGAGGACACAAGACGAAACGTCAGTGCCGTTTGATGTACCGCAACCATGGCATAGGACCACCAATACCATGGGGATAGTAGCAGAACCGTGGGATAGGACCAACACCATTGGACAGCAGTTGCAGGAACGATTAACAGCAGACTTGGGCTGTGTCGGGTCATCAGCAAGGTACCCAAAATAAGTCATTCATCAGGATACAACGAAGGTTACAACACCAACCTCTTGTTGTATTATTTGCTCTCCGGCAATGCGACTGCCGTCAACCACAACAAATACGCACCATTCGACACGAGGACATAACACCGAAGTTATCCACAGCGGTAGTAGCACGAATATTACACCTACGCGCCAGGGGGCGACACAGCAAGACCCAAAGCGAACTTACCGAGGTCGCCGACAAACCCAAAGGCCGTCGATGAACAAAAAAACAAAGCGATTTTGCACTGGATCAAACAAGAACCCGCACACTTCCTTAGATAGCAGTGCGTGGGACAGAGATAGATGCCGAATACCTGATGGCGAAGTGAAACGACTCTAGCGCGTCGTCGAGCTTCCCGTTGAGCATGTACACCTCTGCGAGCTTGGTGTGCAGGGTATCTCTCGTGTGGTGCGGCACTGCCTTCAGCAACCTGAATCAATTTCGTCGCGTTTTCCGTCGTACGTTGGTTCAATGTCAATGACAAGTTTGAAAAACAATGAGTTTCTCGACCAACACCAGTTGTTTCGGCTAAAAAAACGAAAACGGGCTCTTGGGGAAGTGTGGCGAGGAAGGACCAAGACTCATTTTTTCACTTTCAACTCCCCCCCCCCCCCCCGTAAAAAAAAAAACTCGCGCTAGCTTTGCATACCCCCAACGTTACCTGTACATGCCAAGAAGCACCGCACATCTTCTGACATCTAACGAACAAGGGACGAAAGCCAGTGCTCGCGAACAAACACGACGCCCTTCTGCACACGTGAACGACGCACCAAATCCACCCCTACACAAACAACATATACAATTGGTCACGCCGCACGGCATGCCGCCGTCGCGATTGAAGGATTCCAAAACATCTCACACGGGCGTGCTATGTAGACAAAAAAATGAGCACAAGGCTAGAATATCAATTGTCCCTGTCTCAGTCAGTGTCGATGTTTACACTGCTGTGTCTAACACAGATGATCTGGATAGATTCGGGCGATTGTCAATTGCAATGATGGCTTTGGTTGGTTGTTCTTCTTCATTGTATATCCACGGACCCATTCTGACAGCACTTCAGACAGCAGCTGCATGCCCCGAGCTTGTTGTGTACCATACACCATGGTGTTATTTTTGTACAGACAGCACTTCAGACAGCAGTACGCTGTAGCCGACAAACATTCATTTTGGTGAAGTGCGGGACAAGGGGGGTGATGCCGCTGCTGTAGTCGAACTGTAGTGTGTGGGCGTGTAGTTCAGTTGTGAGCACGCAAACGTGCTGCAGGGATTGATTGTAGGTGTACCTCCTCGGGCTTGTGTACCCTTTTCTTGCTAATACTTGTAGTGTGCGTGTTCTTTAGATCTTCTGATGGCTCTAGCATTTTTGTGACCACGGGCCGAGTCTTTGCTAGATATTGGGATTAGCAACTGACACGAGTTTAATGTGAAGAAAACAACAACAACAACAACAACAACATCCACCCTCTCAAGAGCAAGCCTTCTTGGAACTTTCTTGGAACTTTCTTAGAATTTTCGGCCTCCTCGTGCCGGCAAGTCTGTTGGACCCTCCGGCCGATTTCACACCTGGGTCGGTCGGACTAAAATTGTGCCACCAGTTAGGGCACCCCCTTGCCCCAACCACACAGAAATACAGCAGTAGTAGTAGTGGTGCCCATAAGAGGGCCGAATAGTTCCAAGGGAGTTTGGCCTGCCGGGCAACAGGAACTAGTAAGGGCATGGAACAACTTCAATATTCCCTTCTGTGCCACGCCACTTCACTGGCCTCAAACCAGGGCGACCGGCCCCAATTATTGCGCAGCGTTATATCAAACAGCGACAACTAACAGCTGCTGTGCTTGGAGGTTAAGGCGGGGCAGAACGTGTGGGCAGCCATAATTAATGCGCAACTTCGGACCAGCGCAGAGCTGTGGCGATGGGAGAGCACGGTACTCACTGCTTTGCCATCTACCTTCATTGTTTTGCCGCAGGCAGATACTACGCGAAGAACATATCATTGATCTACCAGGAGACTGATCTCTTTCGTGAGCCAAGGAGGCAAAAAAAAACTCACTCACAGGTCTATGCAGGTGTCGTACTCCTTGTCCTCCATGTGCAACCCGACGAGGGCAAGGGTAGCGTCGAGGAAGACCGGGTCTATCCTTAGGGCCTTCTCGTAGGCCCTCTTTGCCTAAGGAAGGAAGGAAGGAAGGAAGGAAGGAAGGAAGGAAGGAAGGAAGGAAGGAAGGAAGGGAGTTGCGTCGACGAGTGGGAGATGTCGGAGAGCCCGCGAAAAAATGCATGAGAGAGATAATACGAAGCGCGCGCGCGCGCGCGGAGAGGGGTTGAGCCAACTTTTTTTTTCAACATTGACGCCCATTTGTATCATCAAAAATTTCTCATGTTAGTCGAAGAGAATATGAGACATCACCCACGGAAGGAAAGACCACCGTTGCAGCAGCGGCAGTAGCAGCAGCAGCACCACCACCACCACCGCCAGCAACAACAACAAAGGTCTGTGTCTCGTGGCAGCTACCTTGAGTCGGTTGTCCGTCATGCCCCCCTTAATGTGCTCCCACACGCTCCCCGTCAGGAGGACCGTTCTGGCGTCCCCCGGCATGACCTCGTTGGCCTCCTTCGCCGCGAAACCCGCCTTGCGGAACTTGCCCGCCTGGAGGTAGGCGTTCACAAGCCCTGCTCACGAGACGGCCGGACCGACGTTGATCATCGTCAACAATCCGACGGCGACAGAAGCAGCAACAACAACAGCATCAGCAGCAGCAACGACAACAACGACAGCAGCAACACCAACAGCAGCAACGATAACGATAACGACAACGACAACGATGAAGACAACGACGAAGGCAACGACAATGACGACAACGACAACAACAACAACCGGGTTTTAGCCACTAAAGTCAAAAGGTACCACGTGATGGTCCGGAGCGCGGCACACGTGGCTTTCGCTCCTGGCGTCTCAAAAACTACCACGCGTACTTCCGTAGACAACCGCGAACGGCACCGAACACCAGGAGGGGAGCAGACGTGTACTGCTGTCTCGCACCGGGACACAAAGACGAAAGCTCGGCGTTTCCCCATCACATGCCTTTGTAGGAGTATATGTCTTTTCTGATGTGGTTGGCCTGCAGGAACAGCTTGGGAGCCTCCTCGTGGTTGCCCTCCGCAAGCACCAAGGAGCCCTTCAGGATGAACGCCATCGCGTAGTTGGGCTTGAGCTCCAACGCCTTTTTCCATTATTGAGGGGGGCCGGGGGGGTGTCAGAGTCAAGTTGGGGTGGTTGGTGTGCGGGAGGGCGTTGCTCAAAGGAACTGTGATTCGATCATCGCTTTTGCCTTCGCTAGGTTTTCGCTGTGTTGTGCTTGTGGGCGGGGTGCGGGGCTCTTGCTTGTTCTCTGGCAACGTGATTTACAGCTATAATTGAGCCACAGCTGGTGGGAGGGGAAACCTCTTGTTCCCATTCATATAGAGCCCGTGCTACGTCCCGTTTGTCGCATGCTTCAAACTTCGGTCCGTTCAGGCCGAAGGGTGGGGGGGGGGGGTCATTCTCTACATCATCTAGCGAGGAGGGCAATAACCCATACATTCGTACTACATGTATGCAAACAGCGATCAATTTTTAATAACACGACGATACGATAGACATTACAAAAAAAACACGGACAAAGACAAACGCTGCAGGGCTCGACAACCTTGTCAACGAAGACGGTGGCCTTGTCCTTATCTCCCCGGACCTCGCTGTACAGAGCCATCACCACCCACGCCTCGGCTCGCATCGGGTCCGTCGAGAGCAGCTCATTCGCCAACCTGATCGTTTGAAAGAAGGCGGTGTTCCAATATCCGGGGGGGGGGGATCGCGACATGACTCAAATTCCAAGACACACTACTACTACTACTACAATAGTTCAAAGTGCAGTCAACAAGAGATCGGAGAGGCAAGGGAAGGTCGGAGGCGCGCGCGGGGGGGAGGGCGGACGAATCTTCAACACTGCCAAGCGTCAAGCTGTCGGCAAAACAAGGAACAGAGAGCAAAGGGAACGAACGAAGGTCTAGCCGACATCGAGGGCCACAAAATCAAGCTACATCAGTAGTACTGGCGGTTACACGCGCGACGTACGCACCGGTTGAGGCCGCCGGGCATGGTCTTCTGCCGCATCACCACCCCGTAACAGTCCATCAAGTCCACGTTCGCGTCGTCCACCTGGCCTCAATTGTTAAACGAAAAAAAAGGGATCAGGTTCTCGCTGATCCAGTGCCTGCCAACAACCTACCACTCCCAGAAAAATCAATAGCTAGTGTTGACGGAAATACGAACGAAAATAGGCCATTGCGGGCGCATGGAATCAACGACTTTTGGTATAATCGATCGAGCGCGTGCGTGCATGCGTAACTGCTCTTGAGGTCCATCCAAACCTGTCTATATAGGGTATGTACAGGCAAAAATGGTGTCGCGCACATTCGCTGAAGCTAGCCACTGTGCACACATGTAGCGCTCCAATCACACAGAAAACATACTTAATTCGCTCCGAGTACTCTCTGCAAGATTTACTGTTTTTCACCTAGACGAGAAAAGGTAAACGTTCATTTTTCTGAATCCAACGGCAAGGGGAACAACACATGCCTCCCCTCCTGTCAAACATCTCTGCAATCACACACACACCAGCCTGGCTTTCTTGAACGCGCTCAGGGCCTCGTCCCACTGGTCAAGGTCCATGTGTGCCTTCGCCACCTGCACCACGCATCACCACACCACACCACACGCCACACGTCAGCGGACCACGGGGTACCATAGGCTCAGCACGGCGAAAAGAGCGCAATATATAGAAATGGGATTCGTGTCAACTTTATGGTCGCTTTTTGGAGTAGCGGCGGCGGCCGCGGCAGCCGCACGGGTAGATGACGGCAAGCAGGACGGGTAAGTAGGCGTAGAACTGGACCAGCACCACCGCTATAGGCAGAACAAGACGTTCGTTCCCTCTCTTGGTGTTGGAGCCATTTCCAACACCCTCAGGGCTTCACTGATTTCACACCAAAGCAACTCGACCAACAAGCTTTATAGGAGCGTGTGCAAGGAGGGGGAGAGCACACAAAAGCACCGCCCGCCTCTCTCGAAATTTCTGACCTGTAGCAACGCCCCCAGATTGTTGGGGTACAGGTGCTCCAGTCTCGCGAAGTTCGCCAAGGCCTCTGCAGCAAAAACCGACAGATGACCGACGAGAAGAGACGACGGGAAGAGGGGAACCAAACCAGCAGAGGAGGGCGGTCCAAACCGTTGGGCATAGCCGTTGAGTACAGAGCAAGAATAAGAGCAACAACGAGAACGAGAAGAAGAGGTGGATTGTGCACTACTATGCCGGAGAAAGGGTTAGGGTTTCCAATTGGAAGGTAGGCCTTGCTTGATGCATGCCATGCCTAGCGGCTCGAGCTACATCATCGTAAGGAGTTCTACAAAGTAAAGTGATCCTTGGAAGCATCCACACTCCATATCAACCAGCCAACATCTCGCGTCTGCGTGTGGTACTACGGAAAGTTTACGTCACTGCTACTGCCTTCGCACGCCCCCCCAACTTGAATCTTCAACACAACTTTATGTCCACCAGCCCGTAGAATCCAAGTTTTGAAGTCAAGCTCTCAAAAGACCCGGCAGATGATTCTTCTCCCCCCACCTTTAGATCTGCAAGCGCACGAGTCTGCGTGGCCCATCACGTACAGGGGTAGCCAAGGCAAGTCGGCCATCGTAACGCCCCCCGGATTCTTGACACACAGCAGGACCGCAAGCAGGAGAAAAACCCAGCAGCAACACCAGCAGTACCACGCCACCACCACCATCACCACCACCAGCAGCAGTATTAGCAGCACCAGCAGGGACGATATCAGCACGTGAACAGTGAGAGGATGTACAACAACAACAGCAGCAGGCAAATGATTGATAACAACAAGAAAAAACAAACAGCGGGAGGACCGTAGGGCAGCACAGACTACTACTCTTTACGGTCGTGAGTGCCACGAGTGACACAGCCAGTAATCACCACGCTCGCGGTGGGACGATTCTTAACGTAAAAGACAACAACAACGACGAAGACGACCATGATGATAACAATTACAACAACTACATTAACAACAACAACAACACGTTTACCTGCGAAAAGTGGGAATATTCATACCTCTGTTTTTGCGGGGAACATGAAGCATGCACGTTTGTCCTGTGTACTCCGGGGGAAAAACTTGAGATATGAATGCACACCAGATTTTTTGTATACGTTTTACGGCAGAAAACACTTGTCTTGTGATATGCACAAATAACTATTGTTCGTCGACGGCATACGTGCTGCACAGCAGAAGTTGTATACGTTCACGGCAAAAAACAGTTGTCTTGCGATATGCACAAAAAACTATTATAATAATCGTCGACGGCATACGTGCTGCGCAGCAGTAGTGTTTACCCCTTTCAGCGCGGCGTCGATGATCCCGAGAACCTCTTCCCCGGAACTCCCCATCTCCAACAGCGGAACGATCGTCTCCACCGCCATTGGATTTTCCCTTCAACAACACCGGATGAGGATAACAAAAAAAAGAAGGAAAGAAGGAAGAGCGTTCGCAAGCAAGACGAAGAGCGGACAAAAACAGAAAAAAGTGTTGGAAAGGGCAAAGAACGGATGACAAAAAAAGAAGGAAAGAAGGAAGGGTGTTCGCAAGCAAGACAAAGAGCGAGGTAAGAAGTCGTTTGAGCGTTCAAGCGCCACGAAACGGCAACTCGAAAACAGCAGCTGCTCTGTGCCGGAACGTCACCCCAACTGCCCGGGAAAAGAAAGAAACACGTGTTCGAGACCCTCGGTCTCCATTGCCCGAAAAAGAGAACGATTGGCACTTCGATAGCCGGAATCACCCGCCCGAAAGCGAGCGAGTGACTGGTTTCCTCCTGCCGACATCGAAGACTTTTCAAGCTAAAACGTTGTTGTAGGTAAAACGTCCTGAAACTCGTGCATTCGGTGTGTCTTCATTTTTGCGCGTCGGGTGTCGACACAAATTCACGGGAGGAAACGGATGCACAAACAGGAGGTAAAGCTGCTTGCGTCGTGCCGCTTCCTGCGGAAGAACTTCCTACGAAAGGACTTCCTACGGAAAGACATTTAACGGAAGGTGACAAAACCCCGTGGCAGCGAACATCCATATGTACTGCCGCAAAATGTTCGTGGCCTGGTGGGTACACCTACTACGTGTGTTCCCCCCTCACGCACATTCTGAAGGGTGTTATTTTCTCTTTCTGCCCCCCCCCCTGCCATTCTGCAGGGCATTCTTTCTGCCCCCCCCGCAAGAGGTCGTGCCACGCGGATGCCAAGTCGTGTCGTGTCATGTCTACATTTCCGCACAAAAAAAAGACAGCAGTTGCAGTCGTGGCAAAGCAAGCGCGTCACCCAAAACATTGACGAGCTGCGTTTCTGCTTACATCTCCGTGCAAATACGCAAATCGGCGGAAATAGGCACGGAGATGAAAAAAATCCACCCCAACGCCCCCCCCCTCACACGAGATGTGAGGTAGTTAATGAATAGCAAGGTGGGGGTGGCTTCTTGGGCAACAAACTCACCTCAAGGTTTTCTTGTACATGCTGCAGGCGTTTCTGGAGAGGGTGGAATGAGATGGTCGTGAGAGAAAACGGGACGAAGAAGGCGGTCGGTCGGAAAACGATCGTTATTTTTAGCCTCGGGGACGAGTCTCTAAAAACGGAAACGGTGCTTACGAGAGCGTGCGCCAACTTGGCAAAGCCCGCGTTTGCGTTTTGTTCCGGTGGCATTTTCGAGAGATGCGTTACGTTGTCGTTGGAATATGCTCGAAAAGAACACACACCATCAAGATGCGATCGAAGCAAGCCTGCTGCTGCTGTGTGGTCTTTCGTGTACTGCATACTACAACGCGTGAGCGCTTCGTTTCTTTCGCGAGGGCAAATACTCCCCGTGGGCTCCACAACCAGCCAACCCTGCTGCCGTTGCCGCGCCGCACCGCCCGTTCGCTACATTCCTTCGTGCAATCACTAAAGCGCGTGCGCTCTCGCATGAACCCATCACGGACACACCTTTCGCTAAACGAATCTCTGGCTATACGCCGGGAGAGAAGGAAGACCGGCTCCTGAAGGCCTGCATACTAACTCTTACAGCAGTAGTCTACCTCTTGAGGCCAAACCAAAGACCGAAACTCTATTATACCTTTTGAGGCTGCAAAAGCACTTCAAAAAATAAGAACGTCTTTCAGCAGTAGACTGTAGATCTACCTTTTTAGTCCTGAGCTCTCGTACACCCTCCCGAGCGTCGCGCTCATCTCCGCCGTCCTCGCGAACTGCAGGATCGCCTCCAGCGCCGGTATGGCCGTGCCAGGCTCGCCCCCGGCGATGAGGCACTGCGCCTCCATGAACTTCAGCTCCGCCACGGGCAGGTACTCTTTCTGGTGGCTCAGATAGGGAAACAGCGAGCAGTGTGCGTATTGTGGACGCGGCGTCAGGAGTGGCAACGGAAGAGAACAGCAGCAGCACGGGGCTGTCGGTGTTGAGAGCTATCGAGCTCTGTCGTAGGAACGCAAAGAAGGCACTGCTGTGTGAGAGAATGGGTACAAAGTCACGGGGAAAATGTCCATGGGTTTAGGAGATGACGAGGAGGTGTTGGTATCTGCCGATTTTGCTGCTTACCTTGTAGTCATATCCACTTACTAAGCGTGATCGACCACGAATAACTCCTTTCGGGAAGACACACCACCCCCTTCCCTAACATTATAGACACACCGCCGACACTTGAGGCCCCCTGAAATTTCCTGCCGCTGTCGTGCCCACACCGGGAACTCTTGTTTCTCTTGCACTATCTCCTTCCCTCTTTACCGCTGCAGTGTCGACACCCACCCCCTTGCCTAGACAGTTTTCCTCCAACTTCTTCATTGCACCGAACTTGTCCGTGTCTGCTTCCTCCTTCTTATGGGCACCTCCTTCTTTGCCCGTTCATTTCACGTCGCCCAGGTATGAGATTCTATGCTTCGTCCCCCTCGCCGCAGGTGGGGGCGGGAGAGGGGGTCACGTCAAGTCATCAACTCGACCTCGCCCACGGCTGTGCAAGTTTGGTATGAATCAGCGGGAATCGCCGACCATGTTGCATCTACATGTCGGAGTATAAAAGTACAAGCTGTGGATACACGCGAACTGGGAGAGGCAGGAACGACCCTATCGAGTTGCAAATGGACCTACGTACGTTAACACGCAAGCGCAGAAGTGAGGCAACCAGGCCATCACGACACAGCAGCAGCATGAGCGCCTACGCCAAGCAAATCTGGTGCCAGTACCACGCCAAGCACTCACGCCGAAACGCACTGGCTGTACACACCTGGGACGGCGTAAGGTTCGCTGTCCGATCCACGCCCGACCCGGCGTCCCCCGCCAGCGCCACCCCTCCTCCTCGCAATCCGCTTCTATCTCTCCGCCGGTCCGCCCAAGATGTGTACGGTTGTTGTTCTTGTGGTGGTGGTTGCTGCTGCTGCTGTTGCTGCTGCTGCGAGGAGCCGCCCATCTCAGCAGACGCCGGTCGCGGCGGGGGCGGGGGCGACGTGAATGCTGATCCGGGCGAGGAGGCTATCTCCTTCTGCAGCTGGCGATGCAGCAGAGATTGCTTGCAGTACGCCTGTGTTTTGCGTTTCATGGGCGTTTTTTTCGCACAAAGTTGTTTGGGTTTACTTCAGAGTTGCTTCAGCATGCCTGTATTTCCAGTCAGAATCTTGTGCAAGAGAGAGGTTGGGAGAGAGGCGCGCGGGGCTAGGAAAGGAGAGAGGACACGTTGGATTCGTACTAGCTGGAGAGTTCAATTGCGAGTGGCACGAGCACGATTTACAATCTACTGCTTGTTGCTGCTGCCCTATGGCTAATGCCTCGCGGCGCTGGATTGTAACACAGTCGTATCCACGTGCCGGAAAATCTATACCAAACCATGAACAACAACAGCTTATTGGCAAAATGTAGGCAGTATCTACACGGCCCGTAAGGAGCCTGTGAAGGGCAAAATGAGCCATAACAAATAACTTGCGGTCAAGAGCTTCTCCTTGGGGGCATGACGTGTTTTCTAACGGGGCGAGATGAATTGGGTCTCTCCATACAACCAACCCCAGTAGGTTTACGTCAGCCGTTGATACGTTCGAACGTGTGAACCTCTCTCTCTCCCTGCAACAGCACGTAGTTCCCACTACGGCCGTAGATCGCCCGTGCCTACGTATATAGGCTGCAGTTCATCGCGTGCAGCACAATCAACGGTATGCACCACAAAAAAACAGAACAAAACAACCACATCCCACTGATCGTGCATAAGTCCCTCCCTCCGGCTCTCTCGCTTATAATAAGTGCCGTAACCCCCGTACCGGTGTCCCCGATCTCAACACCAACGCCCGTTGAACATTGAACAATGAGCGGCTGTCTTCAGACCATAGGAACATTACGAACTCTGCGTACACCTTACAACACCAACATCCCCCATACTATTGTATGCATGCCCTCTCACCGTGGCTCGCTTGTGTTCACCACGGCCCTTCAACGCATCGGCGAACATCGACAGAGCCTCGGCGTGCAGTCCGGCATGTTGGGAAACGCTCGCCCTTGACAGCAAGATACCTCCCACGATCTCCGCCGAGTGGAACAGCTTCTCTCTCAGCAAACCTTCCACGATATCAAACAGGACCGTAGCATCGTCTTGTGCAACTCTTGCCATCACTTCTTGCGCTAGCGCCACCAGCACGCCCGTCGCTGGATGCGAAGCAAAGCCCACGCAGCCCACCGCCGCTGCAACAGCAGCAGAGCAGCAGTCACACTGGGTGCTCCGCAGAATCATCTATCGGGAGTTCAATCAGGTTCTTTGGGCGTTTGGAAGTTCGAAAAGTCCCGCCGCGTATCGAATATCCTAGAGAGTTCAAGGCGTAGGCGCGCGTGTGCTTCCTCTTCGCCTACATCTGTTACTCCTTTCCTCACACCACGTGCTTATCACCCCACACGCGATACACACATACTTTGTCGCCACCCAGACCTCTCAGTAACCATGAAGACCGCATTTGCCGCTCTCGCCATGTGTGGAACAACCTCTGCATTTGTCACCCCCAACGCTGTGAAGGCGCTGGCGCCCTCGACGAGAGCGTCCTCGTCGCTGTCGATGGAGTTTGCGGGAGGGTTGCGAGGCGCGGACGGACCGGAGCCGAACTCTAAGAACTTCGACCCTTTTGGATTCTCTGAGGCCCGACCTGAGAACCTCTTGTTCTTCCGGGAAGCAGAGATCAAGGTGAGACGAAAACCGCATGCATGATCTTTTGGTTTCTAACAACAGCAGCAGCAATGTGGTTTGTTCTCTCTTTGCTCCGCGCCATAATGCGGAGAGTCGGCTTTCTATGGACTCGCTCCACGCTTCCCGACAAGCTTAGACGTGTTTTGATTCTGTAGAAGAGTAGCTCACCCGTGCAACATGTGTTGCACGAACGTCTAAACGTTTTTAACTAGCATGCTGTGTGTGATGTATCGGGGGCGTATCCTTCATAAGAACGCGGGGGTTTTCAGGGTACACGTCACCTCCTCTGAAAAAACGATTTGTTCTGATTGGCGCGTTCATTCACGAGCCCCCCCGGGCGCGCCTCGGCAATGATCTTGCCGGTTTAGACACTAGTATGACTGTTCCCTGGCTGGGTAGGGGTCACACGTAGGCCTTGTGTGGCAGCGAAGTAGGTTCCGGGATAGTTTCGGTGAGCTGCCCAATCCCCGAAAACTTGTTCGAAGCAGAGGAGCAGCTGGCCTCCGAAATGTCTTGAAAATATAAAGGTAGGATTCACAGCAACACGTTGAACGTGCACCCTGATCATACATCCTCACAGGACACGCGCATCTCTGTATTGCGGATTGGAACGCGCGCTAGTCGGCGACCCCTCACCCCGGCATGATGGCGGTGGTATCCGAGATTACCGTGCTGGAATACGGGTGGGGGGTGCCTGTGTGTTCCGCGCCTCTCATTTGCTAGAGGATCACGCGCATGAATTATTATTCATACGTATACCTAAGGCTTGGTCCCATCTTGATGCCTTTTTGTTCACTTGAGCCGAAATGACTTGGCCACTAGTATTGCGGGAGTGGGTGGGGGGGGTACGAGGGGAGTGATATTGCCACGCTCGTCGTTCTATCCATGCCAATCCTCATTTGCGTGCATTTTCAACTCAAGCTCGCTCTAGCTGCTGAAGGTTAGTGGCCCTGCCTCCCTCTCCGCGCGACGGCGTGTCTGTACGTTGCGTCTGCGTTTGTTCAAACGGCACCGACCGCGCTAACCGGCTGACCAATGAAACGACGTGTGTGTGTGCCCCATTTCATGTGGCCCCGGCTTGCATTACCCTTTCGGAAGTTTTGGACGCACCATCGGGGGGTCAGGGTATGCAGATACCTCGAACAATGGCGTCCATGGGTGACGCCCACCTTCAAATTGCAGAATGGATATCTTAACCGCGCTCACACCGTCGACCCGACAATACGCAATTCTGCCCTCCCCTACGAACACAATGTACCTTGTTGCTGATTTTGATTCTCTGCCTTGCTCTTGCCTATTTGCTCCTTCGTCCCTTACACAGCACGGTCGCATCGCCATGCTTGCCATCTGCGGCCTGATCGCACCAGAATTCGTCCGCGTGCCGGGAGAGATCTACCAGGACGTCTCGGTCCTCGACGCTCACAACGTCATGGTAAGTGTGCTGCGTTTTTCTGCTCGCTCGTGCCAACAGTTGCCTGGTACAGCAGTACCTCGGGAGGACCTCCGTGGCGCGATGTTTATGGGTCTGTCGCCTGGAGTTTTTGTGATGAGATTTTGGCAGGTGAACGTCTATGTGCTGCCTTGCTGATGCTGTCAGATTGACACGACTAAGCGCGGAGAGTTTGTGTTACGTTCGCGAGTGGTGGCCGGTCACGGGAACGGGGAAGGGTTCAGGGCGATATTTCAGTAGGGGACGGGCGAACCGGTTGGCAGCGATGGGGTGGAGGAAAATGCGTAGAAATTTCCTCAGCAGAGGGAGGACCTGGAACCCATCGAAGTCCTTGTCAGCGGTGTTGTCCTCGACGGTTTATTTTTCTTGTTCTGGTGTAAACTTCCCACGGAGCTGTTGTCGGTACGACCGCGTCAGAAAACGTGCCCTGGACGGATTGCTGGGAGCCTGGAATCTATAATAGTCGATGTACAGCAACAGCACGGCACAACATTTGCGACCGCTGTCCCGGGTAGGGAGAAGCAACCACGGCCACACTTGTGGCATGATTCGTGAACAAAACCCACAATATTTCGGTCTTGTTTCGAAGAACGTGTGCCCCGTCGTATGCTTCTGTGTCGACACCTTCCGCGGCGCCAGTGGTCTATTTTCTCTGCCGTTCAAGTCACCCTTTTGTCGATGCCTTCATCTCCCTCCCGAGCTATTTTTGCAAGTGTCGTTGCCGTTGGGCTCTTGACAAGACTGGCTGCTGGAGCGCTGCATGGTAAGACGTTGACGTTTGCACCCGCCCGCGTTCCTGAACCCACGACAGGTGGAGAAGGGCCCCATGTGGCAGCTTCTGTTCTGGATCTCGTTGGCCGAGATCATCCTCTTCCCCACCGTCATCGACATGGACAAGAAGGACCGCGAGCCAGGAGACTTCGCCCTCGACCCCCTCAACCTCTGCAAGGTGATGATGTTTGGCATGCATACACCCCCCCCCCATGTTTTTGATGTCAACGCTCACGTGTGGCGATGAGCATGGTTTGGACGTACGCAGGTGTGTCGGTGTGAGCCTTCCGAGTGCTGCTGCTGGCTCGCGTTGTTCGGTGTGTTTTCCCCGCGAGCATTTGACTCTGACCTTGCTGCGTCGCACTGAAGATGATGATTTGCGTAGATGTTGACCGAGTCATTGTTCGCAGAGTGCGCGTGTGTTTGTTGTGCGGAAACGCCCCCCATCGACCGCGCTAACCGGCTGACCAATGGCAATTCGTCAGTGTCAGCCGGCTATCTATAGTTCGTACCTTGTACTGCAGCTTGCTTGGCGGTGTACCACCCGTTCTTGGTTGTTTGGTTTCGCTCATGTCTCGCCTCCTTCTCCCTCGGCCTGCGTGTTTTTTTATTCGTTCGCCTCCGTCGTCGCGCAGACCCCCGAGAAGACGGAGAAGTACAAGCTCGCGGAGCTTAAGCACGGCCGTTTGGCAATGATGGCGGTATCGGGCGCCCTGACGCAGATGGCAATGTTCGGCCACGGATACCCGTTCTTGGCTTAGACTAATTAACTCAGCCGTTGTTGTTTCGGTTCCTCTTGCTCCGGTGTCGAGAGAACGGAGCCTTGTTTAGTCAGGCGTTTGGGCAAGGACGGGCGGATTTTATTTTGCCCCCAATCCGCGCCGTTGCTGCCCCTTCCGTCACCTTTTGTTTCCCCGTGTTCTTCCCTCCCTCCCTTTGTTCGGACGTGGCTGCTGCCGAGACTGGCTCTTGCCGCTCATATTCGCTTTCTTTTGTTGTTTTGCAAGAGAAATTTTGGAGCGTGAGTTGGGTGGGCTTTCGATGCGTCTTGCAAGTGTATGTATAAAGATAGCCTTGAGAGGATGCGCGGTATGTAGAGAAAACTAGAGAAATGAGTGGCTTTTAACAGCGGCGACATCAAGCAGACGACGGCCGACGCTGAATTTGTGTTGCCTCTGGGCAGCTTTATGCTCTTATGGCGCACGTAAGGAAACAGTTGATGGTGTAACCAGTGAGCTCCAAGACACGCCAAGAGTCATGTAGCCTCGGACTGTGCGTAAGAGGTAGGAGAGAGAGAGAGATTGCGTGGTAGCGAAGGGTTTAGGCAGCCGGCCTGGTCGCTCCTGCTTTGCACCAAAATTGAATCCAAGCTCATTTGATTCTTGTCTTTTGTCCTTCGTCCTTCGGTGTCGCATTGGACGGATGTACCGTCTCTTGCGATACTTTTTCTTCTTTTGACTGCTGCTGCGGTGACAACATGACATGCTGCGTCGAGTGGAGCACCTCCTATACCCCGCCTAGATAGACCTTGCCGCTTCGGCGCGCTCGCGGTTATGTAGGATTTGAGGCACTGGCACAGAGCTTTTCGTGTGTCCGGACATGAAAATTGAAACCACATAATTTTTTAAAGCGCTCTGCAGAGTTCTCGCGAGCAAACTCAAAATACATGGTTGGGTAGCACAAGCGTCCCGCCTTCGTCAAGGCCAAGTGTGCATGACCGTAAGCAAGTGGCGTATCAGAGAACACGGCACAACTCGCCTCGCCTTTGACGATGGCCACCAGTAAAATTCCCTCGGAAAAAACGTTTACCTCTTGATGATGTCGATCAAAAGATGGACACCACACGTTGGAAGCTGCGAGGGAGAGGCCACAGGGCAGCGCTGCGAAATGTAGCCGCCACGCGATAGAAACTCGAAAAAAAAGTGGCCGTTGGGGCAAGTTGGGGCTTGCATTCGCTGACGGATAGATCGTCCTTGGCAAAAGGAATGCATTCTCCCATTAGACTATATTATGGAGTACATCTTGCAAAGAGAACGGAAGGTCAAAGCTGAACTCATTACACAAGACAGATAATTCTCCTCGCGTCTGGGACATTCATGTTTCCTGGCAACGCAAACGTGAAGCACCACGGTTGGAAAAGGCCAAGCAAGCTACACGCACATGTGGATGCGGGCCCCACTTTTTTTTGTATCCCTCGAAGAACTACACGGCTCTGGCCTCCCAACAAGTAACCTCGACGGACAGCGAACTAAGTCGTTTTCGAGGCACGTAGACGTACTCTGTACAGGTCGAGAACAAAAAGTTTCAAGAGTATGAATTCATTGCTAATCTGTCTCAGACTCTTTTCTATGATAGAGATGGATTTGTTATCATACACTAAAAAAAAGAAGAAAAAAAAAAGAGTGTTTGCTGCTGCTTGCTGTTGTTGTGGCACGTCCTTTTAGAAAACATTTATTTGGGGAAGTAGGTTGCCTCTCTTTCCTGCAAAATATCTCGAACGGGGTAGGTATTATCTTCTAAATAGGTATGCTACACGGCTTGCTGGTACACACGATCTGCTTGCAAACACACGACAAAAAACACAATGCCTCAGCTCTCGAAAAATCGAAAAAACCGTTACTTTTCAACATCTTGTATCTACGACGGAGATTGCATGCGGTGCATCTAATCCTCCCGCAAGCATCGCTCGCGCTCTCTTAGCTCCTGGGTACTGCTGTTGTCTCTCTCTTTCTCTTGATCGCTGGCACCGCCGTGTTCGATTGACTTGACCCAACAATCTCTGTGGAAAACCGTCGAGATGTCTCGGCCTTCGTCGCGAAACGCAGCTCGCCCGAAGACTCCTGTGAGCCGAAGCTACGAGCGTCCTGAGCCGAAACGGATAATCTCGAAGCATTTAGGGACGGTGCTGGAGGATGGCCTGCCGGCCTGTGAGGTACGAAAGAGACGAGCACAATCAGCTCTGCTGTCGGTGCTTTCTCTCTTGTGCAACTAGGTGCTTAAGTACGGCAATGGTGATGAGTATGGGCTCTTATTTGACCTCGAAATTGACAGACAGAAGATGTTCTCTTGCAGGCTGATGATGCAAAACAACACCCCCCCCCCCGCGGGTGCTTTGAATTCCCAAGATTATGCAGACCCGCCACCTTTCCAATCTCCACAAGATCAATCTGTCAATTATCGATTGTTGTTCGGGTGTGGTTCCCTGTGCGTTTCAAATAAGACTTGCTTTGAGCACTTCCCACGGGAGGGTTTTTGTCAGCCGTGAGTTGCGCCAAGTAAGCACTGCTCGCAGCTTACACGGCTCTTGCGGTTCTCTCTGGCCGAAATGCTTAGAGAGACCAATATTTTGCGTGCTGGTGCGTGCGGGCAGGCGGAGCTCAGCGATGACCAATACGAAGCGGCCAGGGCGGCATTCAGGGCCGAGGCAGGAGGGGCGTCACGGCTCGGACCGCAGGCGGTAAAGCGTGCTCTTCTTAGGTGGGTGTATGTACGGTGCCCAGAGAGATCAGACATCGAAAGTTTTCGTCTTGTGATGCACAAACAATTCCTTCGCGAACACGTCTTCGTAGGGTACAGCAAGTCTCTCCGGCGTCTGTCGAGGGTGGTTTCCCTCTTTTTCACGAACCATGCTGCTGAGTAAGTCGTAGGCGTACATAGGCATGGACGCGATGCGATGTTCGGGCCCCGGTTTGCTGCTGCTTCTCTTGTCCGAGGCAGCAAGGGGTGACAATGGGTCTGTGGGTAACGAAGAGAATATATGTAGTCTGCTCTCCTCGCGTGCATTCCTTTTGCCTTTGCCATGCGTGCGCACTTCCCGCCAGCTGACCCCTTTTTCTGTCCCTCCCCTTTGGTCGAAGAAACGCGCTCTTCGTTTATTACCGGGGGGGCGTGTTTCGACTTGTTGTTTTCGCTGTGCATCTGCACAAAAACAAAGAGTCCGCCATGCCGTCGGCAGTCTCTCGCTCAAATACAATCATATTGTGCCCCCTCTCCTCTGTCAGCAAATCTTGTGTACTGCGCGCGCGATCAACCCCGAATGGCACACAAGTTTTGTCGCTCGTCAACGTCGGTTACACCCGCATGCATTGCCTTCCCACAAAGTTGTCTCACAGAAACCTCGTGGCACATCTCGGCTGCGCGCTACCAACCGCTGTCCTCGGCGCTGTTATCTGTCCCGCATTAAGTCTCAATCTCAGGCTCGACGATGCCCTGTTCCAACGCCTCGTGGAAGACCGATGGCATTCCTACACCGACTCCGACGACGCCGACCATGGGCCAGGCGGCGGGGGGAATAGCGTCGACGTGGACGGTTTTGCGCGCGTCTACGGGAGTGTTGCGGCCCCGGCCATCACGTTCGGACGACACCTCCGGAAGGCAGCGGGGCGAGGGGACGAGGAGCTCGGTGAGGAGCAAAGGAGAAGAACAGAAAATACACGTTTGATAATGATGTCAAGGGCGACGGCGAGAACACCCAATATACTCCAGTAATTCCAACCCGGGTCCTTGTGAAGGTCGAACGCGGATGCAGCAAGGCGGGGGGAGGCACTGCTGCCGTGGTTGTTCGTTGTGACCTTGTTTTGTTTTCTTTGTCTCTTTCGAGAATGTGGACCACTGCTGTTGTTCCATCATCCGCGTTCAGAAAAAACACGCAGGTCGAGGATGAGAGACGGGGTAGGGTCTTCCTGTGGCCGTGGTAGTGCAATGTGGTTGACCGGAGTATTAAGAGTGTGTCGAGTAACAGTATTCGATATGTGGAAACTCCTCGATGCTCGCCCGAGCCCGTTCGACCCACCCACCCACCCTCTCTCTCCCCTCTCGTGCGCCAGATATCCGTCGCTGCCTTCGTTGATCCTTTGCCTCTTTGACACAATGGTGATCCTAGGTGTGGTGTAAAGTGACTCCCTCCCGACATGCACGCAACACGTCCTCCTTAACAACCACGTGCAGTTCGACAGCTGATTCTTCGCGGCTGCAATCCCAACACCGGATCGGGCACCGGAGAGACCGCCCTCCACACCATGGCCGCCTTCGGACGCGTGGACTGCGCCAAGGCTCTCCGGGCGCTCTGCGGGAAAGATCTCATCATGCAGCCAAGGGACAAGGTAAGGGGGGGGGGGGGGTTACCCGTTTTTTATGTCGGGGGGGGGGGGGGGGGGGGGGCCCCGGTCCGGCCAACTTTTTTTTTAAACCCTTGGGGGGGGGGGGAAGGGGGGAAACCCCACCCCCCCCCTTCGGGGGGGGGGGCGGGGCCCCCCTTTTTTCCCGGAAAAAAAACCTAAAAAAAAACCCCCCGGGGGGGGGGGTTTGCCAAAAGTTAAATTTTTCCCCCGGGTTTTCCCCCCGGGCGGGGGGGGGGGGCCCCCCCCCCCGGGCCCGGGGGGGGGGCCCGGGGGGGTTTTCCTG